TATCGCCTAAGAGATAAAATATTAGAAAATTAATGTGTCTATGTATTTATGTTTACACAGTGATTATGTTTGTATCCTATTATGCATGAAGGAATATCTGGGGTATTTTCCCGGGAAGAAATTGTTTTTCCTACTTTGCCGCTAAAGGGTGTTCCCACCCACATGCCATGGGGCCTAGTTTAAAACACGCATTATTTACTATTATAAGAAACATTATTAGCATAAAACCCCCTTCTACTTTAACTAGCAAAAATTCACCTCCTGATATTCTTCATTCATACCAGCTATAGAAACTGAGTAAATCCGCAAGATTATTGTTCGGTCACCCGTAATCGAACCTGCCTCACACCACGGAGGCTAGGATACGCCGTCCATGAGCCACCCTAGAGACTATAAAACCCAATATAATAAAGTACAAAATAATTCGAAAGTCTTTAATCATGTGAAATGTTGTTCTTTGCCGAAAAAAACAACCATCAAACATTTCACTTCAGTGGTCCAAAAATTGCTGTTCTTAATTACCACTAACAAGAAACCTATATAAATTCCTTCTAAGAAACGCAAGACGGCATAGTTAAAACGATGCCACATTTTTCCCAATAACATTACTTTGTGGCATGGGTGCCTTTATAACAGTAGTAAACATTTTATTTGATCTGTTTGTGTTCGAAAGCTCTTGCGAATTCAAAATGCACCAGTACTGGACATGTCTGTTCTCCTATACAAAGAAAATAATGACTTTATAATTTAGTACAAATTAAGTTTGCTAGTTGACATCCTAAATAGCTCCAAAGAAACAAACGTTTTTGTTCAGGCCCTCCATCATCCATAAGCCCTTATTAAGCGATCATCAATGCACTTTTGGCACCGGAAAAAACCAGCACGTAATTACAATATTTTATTGGGTAATTATATATGAAAAAAATTGAAAAGGGCCAATTGTTTTTTGGTAAAAAATTTTAAAAATAACTAGCGACCTGCAGAAGCAAACATAATCTGAACGAACCATCAAAAAAGAGAATTTAACCATCAAACAAATAAATACCAATAAACCATTAATCACAAACTGGAACAAAATCATAAAAAAAGAGCAAAACTCACTCTCTAAGTTCATTGACTTGTGAAATTAAATTGATGATTTTCCCGCATTGCTTGTGAGGGGAAGACTTTTCAATGTAATTGGTTCGAATTTGTTACATTACTACTATTCATTCCTTATTAATTTGTACATTACTATCATTCATTCACTAACTAATTTTGTACATTACTACTAATGATTCCTTACTAATTTTGTACATTCTACTTATCGTTCCATTCCTCGTCTAATAAAATGGTTGTATTAACAACTGCCTGTTGAAGCGAATTGCTTTTCGATAGAAAGTTCACAAATGCTCCTTTTGAAGTAGTACTCTCTGTGCACGCTTTAATCACAGCTTCCTCATCAAGTTCTCCTTCAGTCCATCCTTTCGTCCATTCGATGCCCTCTCAGACGTACGTCACCCCGCAGAGCACGCCGCGTCGCGGAAATATCTGAGTTCGTGGTTCAAACCCATCGAAGTCTTCAGTGATTTTAAGGGAAATCCTTCGTACCATCCTTCGAGGAAAGTAAAAGCCGCATGCTCCCATGTATAGTACGATTTACTGCATGTAAAGATTATCAAATTAAACCTCTGAGCTAAATTCAAATCGAAATAATTAATACGTGAGTCGTCATTCAACAATATTGTCATGCAAATGACCAACTCAATAATTCATTTCATTGGTAAATGCCAACAAAACTCCGCCACATACAAAATTAATTCAAATAGCCTATTCCCGGCCCAAGAAATACTCCTTCCTCCCTAGTAGTGAAAGAGATCTAGGAAATTTGCGGCTATGGTCAGGCGAAGAAGCGGTCCTGATGTCCGAGTCTCACACACCGTAAAATACTGGCACAGCAGATCATTACCGAATTAATGTAATATTACGATCACTCCGTTGCCGAATCCTTGATCCCCTGTTCCTCTAGAATGATTTTCAACACGATCATCCCCCCCCACTCGCTAGTCGATCAAGTATACCCTGCTCTCGCCAAGTAGCCCTCTTTTTCTTCAATAGAGCTGGGGAAATGTACCAGCTATTCATACATGAAATGATGCTTCAAATACCGCGAAACAAAATAGAAAGTGAATATTCATAGAAAATACCATTAATCGACAGTGTTTGGCGGTCTAAAGACACATGTATTTCCGAGAAATTAGGTATTTTATACATCCAGAAACAGTATTTATGCTAGTTAACCAAACTCATCATTCTTTTGCACATATTCGCTTAGAACAGAACGACACAACGTAAACAATGATAATATTTATTTTCTTAATGAATTCGTCTTCTGAAAAACTTATCTGTGTTCTCTAACAAATAGACAAATTATTACACTATACACATAGACAGTGATGGCGCTAGTTATCTATGAAACATACAGGCTTTCGAATACATGAAACCCGAAATTTTAAATACATACACATTGGTGACTGGAAACTTTCTTTCATTTGGCCGCAGCGCCACGCAACAGGACCTATTTTAAGGATGGCGCAGACACCATTAAAAGAAAGAAGAAGAAGAAAAGACCGGAAAAGAAAAAAAACCAGAAAATCACAGTGCGAAAAAAGAGTTTGTGAGCGAAAGAAAAGAAGAAACACAAAAAGAAACAAGATGCCGCACTCCGAAAGAACCAAGAACTCACAACGCCACAAACGGACCTCCAGTCAAGGGCCATCACAGTAGACACAAAAAGGAAACAAGAAGTGACAAAACAAGGAGAAAAAAAAGAAGTAAGAAACCAAAAAAGGAAAAAGACACTTAGCAAACTTCGTTAAGCCGAAGGAAAATGCAAACAAAAGAAGAACAAGGAAAAAGAGAGAAAGCAGAAGAAGAACAGAAACGAAGAAAGAGAAGAACAAAGAACAAGAAAAAGAGGAGCATACAGACACAACGTCAAAAACGCGAAGCCCTGCCAACGATCCAATTATACTGATGCCGCAAATCAAGAAGCCCCCAAACAAGTATACACACGGTAAAAAAAAGAACACTATACAAATGAAGCTAAAACTTAAAACAGGATATCAGAAC